CACCACTAATTCCATTGAATTTCTGTAAGATTTTCTAACTCAACTTAACACTTTTTTGCTATATTGAAATTATATATGTACATACATTTGTATATATAAATATACACACATTTTAGCATTAATATTAATTTATATATATTTTAATGTATATGACAAATACATATTATTTATTATCATAGAAAATTGTTATTTCTTAAATCTACTCAATCGGAGTGGCTATTCTACATTTTTCTTTTGCTGCTTAATTATTTCAAAATATATTTATGCAATTCATCTAATTTATATTTTTCTTTTAGATATGGTACACCAAAAATATTAGACGCATTCAGCAACAAAAACAAAACAATCAATTATCAGAAATAATTTGCGCAAATCAAGCTTCATAACAGCTGACGTCCAGCAACTTTACACATTCAATTAGAAAAAACATTTATTTTGCTAAATGCATATAAATACCGCAAAGCTAAAAGAACATACAAAATTATTTCTTATTGATAAAGCACATTTCACACATCATTTTACATATAAATGTAGTACATGTGTGTAAATTAGCTTAAACTGTATTGTGATTTTCGAACTACACAATTTTCCTTTAATTTTTGCTATTTTAATTACTTATATTTTTAAAATATGAAAAATGTTTAGTTTGTAAAAAACCGAATATTTAAAGGACATGCTTTAGCAAATATTGAGGCAATTAAGCGATTAGATTACAGAAATGTGTAGAAGCATGCGTAAATGGTGTTCGAAAAAGTGAAAATTGTATGAGAAGCAGTATCTAACATATAATTATTTGATTGCACTGCAGTTAACGCATATTTATAATTTATATATCTCCATAATATCTATTAGTTGTAGTACAGCTTTGTTTAATTATTTCAAATCAGTTGCGAAAATAGTTTTAGAAACATGTATAGTTTTACTCCAATATAATTGTATTTTGTAATTTCAACCGAAACATTTTTAAAAACCATATTTAAATAACGTATTCGAAGCTGAAATGTAAACAATGTATTTTATTTACATGTCCTTATGCTTTTGCAAATTAATCTAAAAAAAAACTATATAACACTTTTCGAAATTCCGTACTTCGAATTTAAAATTTTCGCACTAAAAAGTTTGTATTTTATTTACATATTCTTATGTCTTTACAATTTAATTCGAAAATTGTTAAAAGCAATAGTTAAATAACATATAATTTGAATTTTCGGTCTTCAACATTTCCAGAAGCGAATTCTTAAATTTTTTTACATATCCATGTTTTTGCAAATTAATCTGAAAATTAAATAAACTGTAACTATGTATATAGCACTTTTCGTACTTTGTATTAAAAATGTTCGAACTAAAATGTGTGTATTTTTTTTAAATATGTTATTGTTTTTTCAATTTTAACTGAAACTTTGAAAAGTAAAGTTTTTTGAACTTTGAATTTAAAAATTTCGAAATTCGAATTCTAAAATTTTTAAACTAAAATGTTTGTATTTTATTTATATATTCTTGTGTTTTTGCAATTTAAAGCTAAAATTTTAAAAAGTCGTTATTACATACAGTTTACGAAAATTCGAACTTCGAATTCCGAAACTTTCGAACTTAAATTTTATTTTCACATTATGCCTAATTATACGGTTTCCTTTCCATACAGCACCGACTTTCATTTAACATTTGTTTAATAAAAAATTGCAATTATTAATTATACACATACTTAATACACTATGGTATATAATCAGTAAAAGACAATGCGTTGTGTGCTGCTTTCTTTATTAAATGCATACATACATATGTACATACATACATAAGTAATTATTAAAATTTTGTGTGTAACTTTTTCGCAAATTCGCTTTATG